TTCTGTTTCTTAAAAGTGGAGAGGGAACTTAAAGACAGTTGCAAAGCAATCTGAATGCAGATATTTGTGGATTTTGACTATTTTCCAAACATTTACAATAATTTCACATAGCTAATTCCACAACAATTGGTTTTAGTGATTAACTTTCATCCTGTGTTTCTAAAGCCTAAATGTTCATAGATATACTTTTCTTTCTTTTATTACTTTTCATGTATTAAATTTGCAAATTTTTTAGTTATATTAAATGTTGTGCAAATTTAATACCTACACAAATTGGAAAGCGTGCATTTCAACCCATGGGAAGAAAAGTACATGATGTAATACAAAGTGTCCAGAACGTCAGTCAAGGTGTTGTAGGAAGGGAATGGGGAGTGTGGGGAATCCAGCAAGCTGGTTAAGTGAAGGTTTCTTATTAAGAGCTTCTAAAATAGTAGTTTCACAAAATGTATATCAAACTCAGGAAACGTGGAACCAAAAGACTTTTAATTGCTTAATGCTTAATTTTTATTATGATATTAGACACTAAAGGACTTTGTAAATTTCTTTACTGTTCTGGTTCCTGTTCCACTTTTTAAATGATTAGATTTAAACATATTCATTTTTTGTTCTAATGAAATTACAGTGGTATTTAGAAATTCAACATGTTTTATGACCTTAGAATTATTATATTCTTTTCCATCAACCTTTTCTTTTACAGATACAACCAAAACAATTGTCTGGTGGACAAAACCCAGTTTCATATGTGTATTTGGAAGTTATATCAAAACATTTTTCAAAATCAAAAAAAATGCCAATAACCTATGACAATGGATTTCTCTTCATTCATACAGATAAACCTGTTTACACTCCACATCAGTCAGGTAGAGTATATAAGGTGTTTCTTTCCCTGGGTGGGAGGGGATTGACACTATATTTTAGAGCTTTTTAATGCCCAAAATTGAGTGGAGACAAGTTTCCAACTTGCTCAAAAGAGTCTCAGTTCCTAATGACTTATACTTTCAAATAGCATTGTAACTTTAAATTTATAGAAAAATTGCTAAATAAATTGCAAAATCCACAATTATATTATCTACTCCTTCTGTTATTTCCAAGTAGAAAAGTCTTTTTAAAAATTATAAAATGTTGTGTTAGATTGTATTTATTAAACAAATAGGAGACTTAATTGCAAATACAGTTTTGGCAATGAGAAAATAATTTATTGTGGAGCCATGTTCATAAAAAATTTCCTTGACTCTGGAGCTAATCCCCACCCAAATTCAGAAAACAAATCTGCCCCTAGGGCATCAGATGTTTCAGCAGAGAATAAACTAGATCACAGAAATATATGGATATTAATTTTCAAAGGGGATTTACCTAAGAAAGTTTCTGTTAGAACATTGTTTCATATTCATGGTTCTTCTCTTAGAGGGGTAAAGGGCCAAATAGACAGTCAAAATCCTGTGAATAAGGAATAACTGGATTTATTCCCAATA